TGTAACCCATTCCCGATGAGAGTAGGGTTCCAGAACTACCTGCCCTCCTCCCCTATCTAATTCCTCTGTATCAGTTCTTCCTTTCTCAAATGAGGACTATCAAAAAATTGGGGTGACTAGGGCATATTTGTAGACAATACAGAAGGTGTCAGGATATAGTGAGCTATCAAAGATTAGAGGAAGAGTGGGGATGACACAAGCAGCAATGTGCTAGAGAAGACAGGATAGAAAGTCATCAGGGGCCCACATAGAGAGGTTTACCTTGGCAAAGAGAAGGGTCACTTCTACATGTTAAACAGAAGTGAAGAAGTAGATAATGGGGAAGACATCTGACTAATATGACATGAGGGGAAGAGAAGAAGGAGCTCTCAGCAAGTGACCTCTTTTTTTTTTTCTTCAGTAAAATGAGAGATAAGGGCCTCAGCTGAGAGGGTGGGTGAGTAATTCCACGGAAGGCTTAAGGAGGGATGAAAATATTTGGAATGGTTGCTTTGGTAAGTGGAAGAACAAATTGATTAGGGAGGTGTTAAACTACTGCCTGGCTGCAGTGAGGACCCAGTTGAGATTATGTGATATAAATTCATAAAGGAGCCAAATCATCAGTCAGTCAGTAAAGAACGATTTATTAAGCACTTATTATATGCCAGGCACTATGGTAGGCCCTGAGGATAAAAGAATGGCAAAAGGCAGTTCCTGCCTTCAAGGAGCTTACAATCTAATGGGGAATATAATTTGCCAATAGCTTAGTACCAATGAGCTAAATATAGGATAAGTAGGAAATAATTAATAAAGGGAAGTCAGTAGAATTAAGAGTGATTGGGAAAGACTTCCTGTAGAAGGTAGGAGTTTAGCTGGGACTTGAAGGAAAGCAGGGAGGTGAGATGGAGACAAGGAGGGACAACACTCCACACATGAGGGACAGCCAGAAAACAATGCCTGGAGACAAGAGATGGAGTGTTTTGTTCCTGGAGCAGCAAGGAGATAAGAATCACTAGATCAAAGAGTACATCATGGGGTGTAAGGAGTAAGATAACTGAAAAGGTAAGTGGAAAATAGGTTACCAATGACTTTCAATGCCAAAAAGAGGATTTTTTTATTTGATCCAAAGATGATGGGAAGCCACTGGACAATGGCAGAGGAGAAAGGAACCTTGGATCCCAGAATGTCACTGCTCCAGGGGGACCAATGACTATATCTAGATTGGCCAAGTAGAAGAGTCCTCAGCATACAGACAGACAGAGCTGGGAGGTTCTTCAGAACACTAAATATTACTGCTGGAAGGATGTATGCCCAAGCCCACATGATTTCTGCTAGGGATCTTCTGAATTAGGGAGAGGAACTGAGGTGAAGTCTATTGACAGTTGCCTAGGAACTTTGATCCTTGAAAGCTACCTAAAACCAAACTCTTCCTCCCACCATCTGACTTCTGGAAGAACCTGTAGTGTGTAGTCTACCCAATCCCGGAGTGAGGCCCTGCTCCCAGTGATTTTTAGTAATAACTAGATACAAAAGGAAAAAGGAATTTTTCCCTTGCCAGGTAACACAGATGAACTCATGTAAGTCCAGCAGAGTTTAACCCCCTGTCATTCTATTAGTGACTGATGCTAGCTGGTTTGGCTCAATCACTGCAAATTATTGATGAGGTGAATCATTTAATCAGTGTAAATGTGAAAGCATATGCAGGCATTGAAGACCTTGTGCCCAAAACCCCAACCCCTGGGCCCCAGAATGTTTGCCCCTGGCTTGTTCAAAGAGCAGGGAAGAGAACAGGAGTCTCACACCTTTTCCAGTGGAAATTCAGATCAAGTTAGCCATCCCCCCTCCAGTTGAATATAATCTCTCTAGAGGAAAAATTTAGTGTCCAGCAAGGCAGGAGCAGCTAGTTCCATTCACTGGTTACCATGGTGATTGGCATTGTGAAGGATACCTGGAATCCTGAGTTGCTGGCACTCAGACTACCTCTTTATCAGGCCCCCATTATGATCCCTAGGCCAGGAGGAGGGGAGGGCTTTTTCCCAGCTTTGTCCTGGACGGCCAGATGGGAGTGGATCTAAATCACCAGAGGCTCCAAAATATCAGGAGGTACACACAAATACACATATATGTACACACAGGCACTGTGTATATTAGATATATTGAGAGACAGAGAACAAAACCAAGATGGACATAGAGATGCAGAGACAGAGACAGGCAGAGCCAGAGAAAGAGAAATATACATGCCAACTGAAGAATAGTATGCATAAGAAGACACATCAAGCAAGTAGCTATTGCAATAAGGCATGCATCATGAAGGGTACAAACATGAAGTTGTCTGCTCTCTGGAACATCTTTTCTTGGGGCAATCTGGAAAATATCTTCTCGTCAGGGGCAACTCTTCAGTAGAATTGTTTTTCTGGTTCCAAGTTACTTGTTGAAACTCCTTAAGACAAGCAATTGTTACCATTCCTTTTTGAGACTCCAGTTCCAAATTCTCTCCCTTCCACCCTCCCTATACTCCTTCATTGAGAAGGCAAGTAAATTTGATATAGGCTATACATGTGTAGTCATTCAAAACATATCTATAATAGTCATACTGTGAAAGAAAATATAGAAATGAAAAAAAAACTAAAGAAAAATAAAGTAAAAAAAGTATGCTTCAATCTGTATTTAGATACCATCAGTTCTTCCTCGGGGAATAGACAGCATTTTTCAGCGTAAGACTTTCAGGGTTGTCTTGGATTGTTGTATTGTTGAGAGTACCTAAGTAATTCACAGATGATCATCTTACAATATTGCTGTTACTTTCTACACAGTCCATTTCACTTTGCATCAGCTCATATAAGTGTTTCCAGGTTTTTATGAGAGGACCCTGCTCATCATTTCTTATAGTAAGATGGTATTCCATCCTAATCACATACCACGACTTGTTCAGCCATTCCCCAATTTCTAATTCTAATTGGGCACCCCCTCAATTTCTAATTCTTTTTTAACTTTTTCTCAGTGACACATTGCACTCTATCTACTGAGCCAAGTAGCTGCCTCCAATAAGGCTTTCCTTAGCCCAAATACATGACTGAACTATTCACATTGCCAAAATAACTTCTGACCTTTAGGGCACTTTACCCTTAGCAACAGGGCAGCTAAGTGGCACAGCGAATAGAACACTAGGCTTGGAATCAGGAAGACTCATCGTCATGGGTTTAAACCCCCTGCCCAAACCTCACTGCTACCTCTAGAAGCCAGAGCAGAGATGGAGCAAGTGGCCTCTGGGAAAATGGTATATCAATGGGAATGGGGAAGGGAGAGTAGCTCCATAGTCTGTGTTAGGCATGCATGACCTCACTTGATTCTCACAACCCCTCCCCCAAGCAGGTATTATTATCCCTGTTTTACAGATGAGAAACCTGAGGCTCAGAGAGCTTAGGTATCAGAGATGGGCTTTAAACCTATGTTTCTTCAGTCTCCAAGTTTGTCATTCTGTCTGTTCAACCACAATGTCACTTTCCTTTTCCTTTTTGTGAATCAAACAATCAAATCAGTAAATACTTAAAGAAATTAATTCAGTCCATTCACTGGAAGGTCAAACGCTGAAGTTGAAGGTTGAAGACTGTGGTCACATCATGAGAAAATGGGACTCATTGGAAAAGACCCTAATAATGGGAAAGATAGAAGGCAAAAGGAAAAGGAAATGGTAGAGGATGAGATTGATAAATAGTGTCATACAAACAATGAATGTAAACTAGGACAGACTTCAAGAAATAATAGAGGAAAGAAGGGCCTAAGGGGTCAAAATAGTTGGACATGACTAAATGACTCGACAACAAAAACAAAAGAGAATGGTAATGAAGAAGAGTAGGTGAAACCTGAGAAACTGCCATGGAAGGAAAGGAGTTTCTACTTTACCCTATTACCACTTACTGCAGGCAGGTATAGCACTTTCACCACAGAAGGGTTAGAGGTTGAGTAGCTTGATGATTCAAAAATCCACTTACCCAGTCCTAATCCCTCTGCATACAGCCAGCCTCACATCTCCAAATGTCTACTGGACATCTTCAATTGGATATTCTGTAGACATCCTGAACTCAATATGTCCAACACCGAACGTCTCCCCTCCACCAAAAAAAATCCCTTCTTCCTACTTAGCCTATAACTGTTAAGGGCAGCCCAATACTGTCAACATCACCCAAGTCACCCAGGTTTGCAAGCTAGGGGTCATCCCAGGTGTCTGACACTCTCTCACCTCATATCCACTGTTGACAAGATCTGTCCATTTCCCCTTTCTAACGTCTTTTGAATGCTCAATTCTCTCCTCTGGCAATGACAATACCCTGGTGCAGCCCCTCAGCACTTAACACCTGGGCTACTGCAATAAGTTGGCCCCCCTCCCTCATGTCTCTCAACTCAAATTCTTCCTGCTCTCAGTGATCTTCCAAAAGCACACTTCTGATGATATCACCCTTCTCCTTACTCAATAAACTCCCATGGCTCCCAGTTGCCTACCAGATCAAATGTAAAATCCTTTGTTTGGTATTCAAAGCCCTTTCTAAACAGCCCTCTTTACCCTTCCAGTCCTATAAGACCTGACACTCACCTTTCACACACTGTGAGAACCACTGGCACTCACCTTCTTCCTGGTTCTCACACATAACATTAGGATCTCCCAACTCTCATTCCTTTTCAATGACTGTCCCCCAGGACTGGAATATATCTGCTTCTCTTGGCTTCCCTGGCTTCCTTCAAGTCCCAAACCACAATCTCACCCTCTATAGGAAGACTTTCCTAAACCCTCTTAATTTTAGTGCATTCCTTTTGTTTATTGTTTCTAATTCATTCTGCTTTTAGCTTTCTTGTACATAGCTGTTTATATGTTATCTCTCCAAATAGACTATGGGCTCCTTGAAAGCACAAATATCTGCTTCCTTTCTTTTTATTCTCAGCATTTAAAACGATAGTAGACATTTAATAAATGAAGGTTATAGAAGAAATTCAAACAACAACCTACAAAGTTACTGAAACCGTACCTGTGGAGGTAGGATGGGGCACAAACAGAGCTCCTTCTGGCAGAAGACCTCCATGGACTCACAGAAGAGTTCTTTTCTAGTACATAGATTAAGAAAAGAATGATCAGACAGAAGCTTGAGGGATACCTATAGTTCATGGGCATGACCTGAGTGAAGATTCAATTATTCAGACTGGTCAGGCATAGTCAGGTAAGATGAGAATTAGGAGAGAACACTGGCATGACATCTGAGAGAGAAGGGAGATCCAGGAGATGAGGGTGATCAACAGCTTCAAAGGCAGCAGAGAGGTCAAGAATGATGTGGGGAGTGAGAGAAGGCCATGAGACTTGTCAGTTAAGAGATGACTGTCCCAGTGGAGAGATACATTTTAGGGAAATGATGAAGTCAGACTATTCCATTCATATTCGTATATACCACTTTTTCATCACATTCCCAAATGATAGATATGCATTTTGTTTTCAGGTCTCAGCTACCACAGAGGGCAGCACCTCTAAACTCTAGAACCCTGGGAGGGAGTGATTTGGGTTTGTTCTCCTTCAAGTTCCTCATTAGAACCAAAACCTTGTGAAAGGTCCTTTGGTCCCTTCTGCTCTGTACTCCTCCTCCAATCATTGGCTTCATAGCCCAGCTGTCTTTGAATTCCTCCTCACCTATACCCAGAAATACCTCTGCATGACCCTCAGGACCCCACTCCCCTCCCACATACCCTCATGTCCCTAACCCATTATGCTTTTCCTGATCAGCTCAAAAGGGGCAGTGAGTGTCCCTGTTTGAGCCTCAGGGCAGGGACTTGGCTGGACACAGATCACAGGTGGACAATCTGTGTCTGAAGAAGGGATCAGTTGAGTTCAACTCTGCAAACTTGGTGCTATACATTGCCACTGTCCCTCCCAGGTAGTCCAGAACACCCAGCCAAGCACATTCCATGCACTGCCTGTACCTGTCCTCCTGATCCAGTGAGAGGATGAATGGGAATATACTCTGAGAAAGTCACATGCTCTGTATAGAGGCTGCATTAGGGTAATCATTATGCTTTTTAGGGATTCTACATCATATATTCTATTCTATGGGTGTGCTTACACAGGGCATCACTGTTCTTCTTACATTAGTAAATCTACCACAGGGGCTACTTTGATGCCAAAGGACATGTCCCAGAACCACCTTCACATGTACCCCTCATTGTGCAAAATCCCCACCTATAACTAACAAGATCCCCAAAACCAGTATTACTGCCTACAGTTACTCTGTCCAAGATACACTTAATCAAAGGGTCAAGATTTGTGCCAAAGCCACAGAGTCCTCCTATGCACCTGCACCATTTTCCCTTCTCTGGTCTCTAGGGACGCATCTCTGTAGGGGGCCGAGTCCTTATGGAAAATCTCCAAGTCCTTCTAGACTTTAGGGGTCAGTACCTATAGAGGCTTGCCTCAGGATAAATGCTCCCATAACTCTTGCCCTAGCTCTGTCTGTTGTGGTTTATTGATTCTAAGTTCTCACTCATGCTTAGCCTTGAGGCCAGGTGGCTGACTCAGGCAGATAGTACTAAGAACTGGGCAGGGAAACAATAGATATGCAATTTGGCATTAAAACTACTTTCTCATGAGAAAGTGAGGATCTTTAGCTGCTTAGATTGTTTATGTTATTAATTAGCGCTTATAGATCATTTCTCATGGTACAAAGCTGTTTTCTACAGTACATAATCATGTAACACATGAAATAAACTAGTCTTTCAGCATTAAACTCGGACTCACCTAGCCTGATTTTTCTTTCTCCAGTTCCCCTTCCCCTTTTTTCTTTCACCTCTCTGTCTTGTACCACGCCAGCTGCTGGCAGTTGGCGCCGGACCAGGGACAACTAGATCCTTGAATGGGAAAACTTTTTACCCCAGGGGGACTGAAGAGGTTGAAAGTGACACAGTGGTGCCTTACTGAATCAGAGCTCCACTACAAGGAAGGATAGAAGTAAGGGGATTTATTCATGTTGAAAAAACACGATACTAAGCTTATTCGGGGATTTCTCTGTTCTCCCTTTAAAATGGGTCGGACTCAATTTAAAAATAGAGAGCAACACCTTCAAGCTTTCTTTCCCCTCATTTGGTTAAAGTGTGCTCTCCCTGGAGAAGACTCGTTCTCCAAGACCTTAAGGAAAATTTTGCCTGGTTTCCATAACATCTGGAAAACCATGAAAAAAAAATAAAAATAAATATTATTTGATTTGTGCAAAGAATTTCTAACAAACCCCTCTGAGATTTGGATTTTCCCTGTCATGTTTTTTCTGTATTTGTTTTGTGTTTGTCTATGTGATATGAGTGAGGGTCTGCCTGTAATCTAATGCTTTGTAACCAGGTAGCAAGAATAGCATTCCAGGGGCTGCAGCTGGACTGTGGAATGCTGCTTTCTTTCTCCCCTTCTCCCTCCCTAATACTAGCCTCCTCACAGGAGCAGGTGGATGGGAGAGAGAAGGAGAGAAAAATACTTTATTATTTAGGTTATATGGTTGGTAAAAGTCAAGAAAGTTTAAGCGTGTAGGAATGAGAGAAGTATGGGTAGAAAGAAAAGCATAATCTGTTTGCATGAACAGTGTGAACAGAGGGTTTGAGAGTAAAAGATTTGGAAACTTTTGGAGAACTGTTAGGAAAAAAATTTTCTTTCTCTTTGCATTCTGGACTCTGGCAAAGTTCTGGATGTAGATGGAGAGATATGAAAAAAAAAAGTTGTTGGAAAATTTTCTCTTCCTCTCTTCCACATTCAGCTTTGGCTGGGTTGTGGCACCCAACTTGGCCGGGGCTGGGTGTGGGAAAGAGGAAGAGAAAGAGGAAAGGAGGGTGAATTTTTTCCTCTCAGATCAAAAATAAAAGTTTTTATGTATTGGAACACAACCAAATGATAATTTAGTTCATTCTAATTGGTAATGTGTTTGTTTCAAGTTTTAAAAATCTAGTATTGTTTCCAACTGGTAAACTTTTTTTTATCAGTTATGTCAAACAGTTTTTCATAATTTGGATGTCATTAAAATGTGAACTAAAAGAAACTAAAGGACAGTGGGAAAATTGTGTAAAACCAGTTAAATTACTTTATCAAGCGCTGCTAATCTTGTCTTACAATGTTTTATAACTGTCAATTAGAAAATCAGGTATTTCCACCTTTACCTGTAATTAAAGAACGGCTTATAGCTAAAACAATTTGACTATCACACATGAAAACTACTAGATTGTTAATTAAGTTATTTGGAATTGCTGTTTTAATGTTAAAGCCTAGAATTGTTAATTAGTTACTTGTGTGTGAAAAGGAGGGGCACAAGGCAATTCCCCTTACTTTGTAAACTTGCCAAGGTTCCTAGAAACCGTCTGTGTGGGCAAGGTCATCTGCCCTGCGAAAAGAACTTGTTTGCATTATAGAGTTCCTATACAATTGATTTGGCTTACTGAGAATTTGCAAATGTATAGAAATTATTTCCAATAATTGGCTTTTATACCAGAACAAGTTTAAATTTGAGAAAAAATTATGTTAAGTAAAATCTCTTATATATGTGAGTCCTATTAAATCTTTATTACTTATTACAACTCCATGAGAATAAAATTAACTGTATCTGGCTTTAAGCTGTGATTAGTGAAACTTGCTGTTTGAGGTAAAAGGCTCTCAGGACTATGACTAATTTTGGTTTGAGTTTGAATTTGGGTATAGTTGTCTCCATTAAATCAGCATCTGAAGTTTCCCTATTGTGTTCCTTTAAGAAGGAATATTTCCCACCGTGTACCAAAATTTTGTTCATAACACTCTGAAGCCTGTTAAACAGAGATATTCTCAGACAAAAATAATTCATTATATGAATGATATACTTTGCAGTTGTTCTACTACTAGTGAACTGTCCTTATTAATGCCTGAGCTTTAACAAGCCCTTCAGACTCATTGACTTATAATTCCCCCTGAAAAGGTACAAAAGAAATCATCCTATTGGCATATTTTGTCACAGTTTACAATTAGACCCCAAAAATTGCAAATCAGGCAAGATTCCTTAAAAACTCTTAATGACCTTCAAAAATTTCTTAAAGATATTATTTAGCTTCAGCCTGCCTTTACAGATCACCACTAATCAATTATTTAATCTTTTTACCACCCTGAGACACCTCACCAAGAATGTTTACACCTCAAACAAAAAATTAATTTAAACTAGTAAAATAAAAGATAACTGAAGCCCAATTAATTCCTATTAATCCCCAGGAAAAGTACAAACAGCTATATTAATCACACCTATTTCTCCTACTAGAGTCTTATTTCAAACTGCTAGTTTAATTGAGTAGATTTATCTCCCTCACCGATTCCCTAGTTCACTTACTTCCTATACTACCATAGTAGCATTATTAGTTCCATGACTGTCAAAAATATATTTACGATTGTCAGGACATTTTTTCCCTGTTGTTCAGCCAGCCCTGTAATAAACAACCGTTTGACTCCCTAATAGCCTCCTCTGAAGATTACCAAGTTGCTCTCTCTATATTTATAAGTAAACTTGATAATCATCTTCCTTCACTTAATATATTATCTTTTTTCACTAATTATTTTTAAATTTTCTGAAACGTCATACAATACACCCCCATACCCCAAGTGCTCACTGCTTTTACTGACAGCTCAAGTAGTGGAAAAGCTGGTTATTATATTTCTCAACACCATCACAAAGTAATTCAAACTTCCTTTTCCTCTGCCCAGAAGACAGAACTTTTTGCTTTGATTCTCCTTTTTCAAATTTTTTTTTCTGAACCTCTTAATGTAATGTCAGACAGCAAATATTCTATGTATGTTTGTCAACATCTAGAAACAGTAAAATTAAGCCATATATTGTCCCCTGATTTCTATTCCCTTTTTCAACAATTACAAACTCTTATTCAGTCTTATACCAATCCTCTTTATTTTACTCACATACGAGCACATTCTGATTTGCCCAGACGTCTTACTGAAAGTAATGCCATTATTCTTAACTACAATTCTATCCAACACTTTTAACCCCTACCATACAACAAGCTATTAATTCTCATTCCCAGTTTTGCCAAAATACTGCCACTTAACTTTTTATTAAGCT